GAAGCTCTTATTCCATTTCACCGTTCTAGTTACGAAGCTCGGTTCATGTGTTGGGTGTAGTTTTGAGGTCTTCGGCACATAACGTGTCTCTTTTTCTAGATATACTAAGATATATAAGCATCTGGATGATTTCATTACATCATGGTACATCAGGGCTTTAGACGTGCTTGTGTCTTTACAATGTGCAGAGCTTGCAAGTGTTTCGGATTCCACTTTAAACTGTAGGTCTTAAGGGTGTGGTACAAAAGTTTCTGCTATAATTTTAATAGCTCCATCCTTAACCTTTTTTAAGGATTAGGATCAATTGGAACCTCTTTTTTATCCCTTATTTATTTTGTATACGCAGTTTTAAAGATGATAAGATTTCATTTCAAACTGGATGTTTAACGGGCATTGCCAGTTTTTAAACATTCACAAAAAATAAAGCTAATCCAATTTGTTTTTTGATATTTCGCAAAAATTCGAGGAACGCAACATTATCATTGATCATGATTAGATGGAATATTTTTCGTTGTAAAAATAATTAATAAGCACAGCCCAAACAGCCAAACGTTTTGGATTTGACAAGCATGACTAAAATTTCTCATTTATCGCAGTCAAAAATGGCTTCATATTCCATATTTCTCCCACAAAAATAAGCCACAACAGTACGGAATAGTAAAAAAAGCATTTGAAAACAACAAACGAAATTAAATTGCCCTATATCAAATTAAATGCCATGAAATAAATATTCTTAAATTTCCACAATTCTTGTTCGTTGAAATTCATTTCTAAATTTTCGATTGTGCTATGCATATCGAGCATACGAATGTATATTTGCATATAACACAGAGCTTCAAAGTGTGGTATGATGATTTTTCATCCCCAACACCCCTTAATTGCACATGACATTAATTATTTCTATTTCTGTTTGCAAAGCAACACGATCTGTGTCACACAAGAGAGAAATTGAAAATGAAATTGCATGAGATTCTTCCTGCAATCATTGAAAAATGATGATGACGAAAAAGAAGAAGAGAGAGCAAAACTCTCAACTTTAATGAATGAAAATTGCCATTCTAGTAATTGCTACAAGTGCTACATGAACATACAGTTGAAGTTATAGGAAAAAAAAACTTTCATTTCAATTTTGTGGTAAAGATCTTTTTCCTGTTCACTTTTTTTTTTATTATTTATAAATGTAGATAGATATTGGTGATGTAGCAAGGGATTGGGGGTAGGAAACAAAATCGAGGTTCCGAGTGCACCCTTGCTCCGTTCCTGAGATACATATTTATGCTTCACATTTATATGAAAGCAGATTATTTCGAATGAATAGAATTTGTGTATGTATATGAATGTAGAAGGAAGAAGAATCCAGAAAAGCACACTAAAGTAATTTTGTAAATTGAACTGTGGTTTGGTTTTCATCTTTACCCTCCAATGATTTACAATATTTACAGTTAAAATGTATAAACACACACTTCCGTATCATTTATTTAAAAATGAATTCTGAATAGAGAAATGGATGTAGAGGTACGTGTAGTAATTTCCGCAAATAAAATGAAAATTTTCGCCCAATATTTTAAAAAGGGAGTTAATGATAAATATTTTGCCTGGAGCTGCAAAAAGTAGTGGGTAGGGGGTTGTAAATTGACCGGTTATTTGTTTTTTGGATGGCTAGTTTTGTTCATTAACAAATGGTTGAATCTGTAAACTAAGTTACATTCCTTATTCTGGCATATTTAATTTGTTAATTGAATAGAAATCCGGTGCCTAGCCAAAATAACTCTGGCATGGTGCTGGCTTCGACATAAATCCAGCACCATGCCATTGTCACACCTGCTTGGTGACGTATATCTGATTAATTAACCAACTTGTGCATTCGGGTTTTGATCAGTTCTACAACCTTGCATCTTGCACCTTAAGCATTTTTTTATGTTGAGATTCAAGTAAAATCAAGCGGCAGCTGCTTAGAAACCAATTCCACAGAACGTCAAGTGGTTGCGACGTGGCTGTCATTGCTAATTCGCTCCCGCTTGGTTCTAATTATACTATCAACCCGGAAGCTGGGTGACAAACATTTCAATGAATTTCAATGTATGCCGATCGGGCAAGCATGTGTCGATATTGAATATCGAGTATAGTTACAATTCATGCTATTGATTTAAAGTAGTACCAGTCAAGTGTTTGCCAGAAAATGAAAATTATTCATACTTTATTTCACGTAAATTCTATAAATGAACTTAATAATGTACACAGCAAGCACTATTCATATTACAGACACCTCCTGAAGCTCCTAAACGAAACGTTATGAAAATTTAATGAAATTTTAATTTAATTCGATCCTGTCCAAAAAATTAACTTAATTCAACAACAAATTACTTACACTAGCGTGGATGATTATATGCTGATAAAGCTGCCGTAAAATACCTGGTATTAATATCATCCACCGAAAAAAAAGGAAAATCTGAAACATTTAATACAACCTCATAAAGCTGTAAGAGAAAAGCTGGAAAATCTGAACCATTAAATAAATACAGTATCTCATTTACACAATTTTTTGCTCAATTTTTATTCTTTAAATTTCATTAAAAATTTCTCATTTCTTATGTTAAATAAACTTTTTAATTAAATTTTTCACAGCACCATCATTTTTTTTCTTTTCGAGAAAGAATGAACCAAAAAAAAGGAAATTTGAAAATTTGTTCAAGATTATTCCGAAAAATTTAATTTTGCTTTCATGCGAAATCTTTTATTTTTTGCTACCTTTTATTTATATCATCTTATTTATTCGTATATTCTTCACTGCTCGCGTTCTTTCGCGATTTTTTTTGGGGTAGAAAAACTCAAAATTTATAGTCACGTGGAAGGAATATTGAATAAATTATTGATTCAATTGGAAATGAATTCATTAACATTGATTAATTATTTTATACTCAAATTTACTTATTTTTTGTGTTTTGGCACTCGACCTTTTCATTTTCTTAGTTTTTTTCTTCTTATAACTTTTACTTTTTTTTGTACAAAAAATTTTATGTCCTAAATTGATCATTGTTTTTTGTGAGTAAAGCGAAAAGGTGAAATAGTTGCTTAATTAGCAGCAAACGCTTGATACAGTTAGGAATGGATTTTCTGTTGGAGATACACTAATTTGTTGAAGTAATTACATTCGTTTAAGATATCTTTTTTAAAACGATGTTTGGGATAAATTATATTGAGGCACTGAATACTAAGCAAGCTTTAAGAATATTTACGAACACGCGTAGCCAATGTACCTGAGGATACTCTTACATATCTGCGGGAGTTAAAACTGTGCTCCTTATTTTGTGTAGACATAATCCACTTTTGAGAGACTTCACAATTTCAATCATAAATTCAGGGTTGTTAATCTAGTATCTGTGCCAAAATACCTTTAGATGTTCAACAATAATGAATTGTCATAACTAAATCTTCAATACGAGCTTGAAACTTATTAATCAAAATCTTTTTGGTTATCTGATTTGAAGCGAAAGAAACGAAACTCATTAAAATGAGTTTTGACTTTTGTTGATCATTATTAATCAGATTGATTAGTTTTAAACCCAGCAAGGTTGAGTTCGAGCACTAGAACTAGATTTTCCTGCAACAACTAGTTTACAATTTGCGAGAATCTTCAAATCTGTTCCTAACAAGAAACTGTAGAAAATAAATTATTTTGTGTTTAATTCTCCTGATTTAAAGTTAACCTAATTAGATATTGATCATCACAAAGATGTTTGAAGACTTTAGACTAGAAGGCAAATAAAAATCTTTGTCCGATTAAATGTTAGCGACCCAGACTTCCAATTAATTTGCAATGAATAAAATCAAATTGATGTAAGTGCTTCAACCCATCCTTTTTGCGTCACAGTTCTCGCAATTAAGCTCTCATTTCATCTTTATGCCTACTCAACATTTTATTTCCATATTTCTTCTTTAACTTTAGTTTTACTTCTTTGTTAACAGGTTCTTCAGTTATACAATTGTTTTTAAAAACATTTTCTTCGACTTTAATTCTAGAATCTTTATACATCTGCTGGATATTTACGCTAGCAAACAGCTGAAGATTCTAGAACTAAAGCTTCTTCTTGTAGTAATTAAATTATTTAACTCAAAGGCAGTGATTAACAATTTTAATGAGCTTTTAATGCTACTTTTTAAAATACTTTTTCATTCATTTTATCGCATCATAAATGAAATGCTTCGTACATGTCTTTTTTGTTGTAGATATTTTATGGATATGCCAAATATAAATTTTGAATTTTTTTTGTCTTTTTTCTTCCTGTATGGTAAAAAAGTTTGAAGGAAAAGTTTTTATTACTGTTTTTTTTTTCTCTTAAAATAATGCAATAAAAAAATGAGAAAGGTTGTTGTCGAAAATCGATGGCATTATCATATTCATTCCTTTTAACAGTTTTGAATATTTCTCTTATTTATGAAACCGACTTTTATCATTAAATTTAAGTGCTACTTACTGCTTCATATGAATACACATTTTCTTCATTTCATATATTCTTTTTGTATTTTTTGATATATTTCTTTTTTTTTTGTAGTTTATGTATTTGACATCTATCGTTGTATTATTTAATTAATTAAACATTTGTCATTCGAACAGTTTGTATGTGTAGGTTGAGTGAAAATCAAAACAAACTAAAGGAAAACTCTAGGTGGCTTTTCCTTTGCAAGAAAAGAAATTTGATAAAATATTGCCCTACTTTACTCAAGAGTGAGGAACTTATAGATCCAGTTTTATAAACATTTTTGATCATAATTGATCGTAAATATTAGATTTCCTTGACTCTAGCTTTCTTTAGCAACGATTTAGAATGTATTTTGCTGATTTTTTGATATATTTAAACTAAGAGTTTTTATTAAGTTGTCGAAAACTGATGTTAAATCTCATGTTGAAACAATATTGGATAATGTGAAACTTTTTGACTTAATTTTTTGGTGGGTTTTTAATTCTTTTTTTTTATCAGATATTTGATAGATTTGTACACTTTTGAACAATATTGGCGGTATTAATTGTTTTTTCCAGAATTCTGAAGGATTTTGACTTATTGTTGTATATAAGTTCAAGTAGATTTGACTATTTCTGAACTTTTGAAAAGTTTATCAAACTTTCAATAATTTCGAAACCAAATTTATTAACTTTTCAAACAAAATATTTTCATTTAAGGATGTTAAAATAATCAAAATGATCAAAAATGATAAAAATCCGATTTCTTAGTTCCATACTCATGATTCTATTCAATCAAATTTTATTCTCAGTTGCTGCTAGAAAATAAAACAATTCTTGGATTTTATGTTTACACTCAATTTGTTGATTACTTTCAACTAATTAACTTCAATGTAAATAATCGGATGTTTTCTACTTCAGATGCACAACAAAGCTGAAATGTTTTGTAGCTCTAACGAAGCCTGAAGCTTTACATGATATTGAAAATTAAAAAAATCTCAAAAATAATCAACAATTTAAGAAAACAAAACTTTATCAAATTGTGTCGTTGAATTTTTTAAGAGCATTTGTAACTTCTGAGAGATAAACAAAGAAGAGTATTTCCGAAAAAATACGAAAATTCCATTTAAATTGTCGAAAATGATTTAAGCAAAACAATCTTTATAAATTGTCTATGTAAATCTTAAGTAAGGAAAACATGAAGCGGATGTGAAGTTTTCAAAATTGGATTGTACATAAATTGATCTTCATGAATTATTGAGAATAAATTCAATGGAAAAGCCATAATACTTATCGTCAAGATATTTCGTACCACCTTGAGAATTTCATGTCACAGCTCAGAATGTGATGCTTTAAGTGGTTCCTTTAGCAGACAAAAAGGTCGTTGTTTTGACAAATAAGAAAAACTTTTAAGTTTTCCACGAAAAGCTATTGAAAGTTTTTTTTAATGTTGGTGATTTTTCCTCCTTAACTTTTAAGATCCTATAAATTATTCAAAGTTTCCGATAAGGGAACCTCACACCTAAAGAATTATCAATACTCTCCCTCTTTTATTCATCTCAGTTAAGGTAAAATTGAAAAAGGATAAAAAGGATTAACATCTTTTAAAGGATATTCACGAGGGAGCTATAAAACTTTGCCATCAAGCATTCTTCGAGATGATTTGTGAATATTTAATGCCATGGTTCTTATGAATTCTCATCGCAAAAAATTCATGAACAAAGTTATTTTTTATTGAAATTAAATTCATCCAGTTATGCTTGACTTAAATAAACAAAACCAATTTATATTAATACTTAAATAATTAAAGTTTCATGGGAAATGCAGATAGACCTGCGAAAACTTATTTTTAACAAACTTTTCAAATTTGAACTTTTACAAACTTAGTTCAAATTTGAAAAATCCGTTTAATGTTTAAAATATTTTTGTACACAAAAATCACCAATAATTAGCTAGAATTAAGTAAATATATGTGTTTATGCATGTTTTGTATGTATATCAATGAGCTTTATAAAATAAAACTAAATTAAAAAGTAATTTTCAACATCATTTAATATGTAAATTGTAAATATTCACAATCTAGCAACATTTCTTATTCATTATTATCCATCATCATCATTATCATCATAATAATCATTCCTTAGTATTATTATTACATCATCTATAGCATTCCACATATTAAATTCTATAATAATAATAAATATATTTGACACCTACATTGTAACGTGCTTTATCATTTACCTATTAATAATAATTTTCAGAGTCTTTATACTTTTTTATCATGATTTCTGAACATCATGATTATGTTCGTCTCACAAACAATTGTGTAATTTTTGGATATAAAAATCGTTTACTTTTTGTTTTGGAAAATTCATCGTCATCTTTTTTGTGGGTCAATTATTGACGTTTAATGATAGATCTGCAAGATAATATCTAATCTCTTATTACTGAATGTTAAGAGTGTAGCAAGTAGGGATATGCAGTTTCAGTTCGAATCTCTTGTGATGTCATTAGCTTGTAATATCGACAACACTCTATATAAATACTTGAGAATCGAACCTAAGTCCTCACAAAGAAAATATTTACTTATTTATGATGCTTAACCAATCAGCCATAAGAAGCTTGCATTACCTCTGACAGATTTGCCTACATATGACTTTGACATCGACATCAAATCCCTCATCCTCGAAAATATTTCTAGCTACACCCCTGTCAGACGTCATAAGTGAATGACCCCCATTTAATATAATTTAATTAATTTGTATTTATTTGTATAAAAGTTGAATTAAATTAATGAAAATAGTCTAGATGATGTTTTAAACAACATTTTTAATGTGATATCCTTTTTGATTGACATGCGTCTTTATCTCTTTGTAATATGATTTCGATATCATTATAATAATATGAAAATTGGATATGTTATTGTTGTTTTTGTTGCTGTCGATTTCTTATTAATTAGACATCTTCTAAATGATCGGATTATTGTGGTTATTTTGATGTGATTTTGTGGTCGAAATTGAATATAGTCAATTCTTAGATTTATGTGTTTATGGTTTATCTCCCACATATTTCATTTTGAAAATTGATATGAAATTGAAAGGAAAAAAAAATGTTTTTCAATCGAGTGGGTGGGTTGGGGTGCTGTTGTGATTCATTTGAATTCTCAAAATTAGATTGATTTCTAATTATTTTCTTTTAATTTATCAGAACGGATCTGCTATTGTTGTTTTGATTATACATTTAAATTAGAAACAACATTCGTCTCTTGAATAAAAAACAGACAATTGTGCATCATGTTCAATTTGATTCTTTAATTAAATTCCTTCATGTAGAAGAAGTAAACTTTTACATTATTTATTTCGATTCTTTAACAATAGTATAGACATGAGTGGGATAAAGTCACTAGGTGGACTAGTGAATCTACCTCTTGAAAAGTTCTAATGATTGCAAATGGTTCGAGATTATAATAATGGTTGTAGGTTCGAGACTTCTGAATCAGATTTGATATCTGATGATCAAAATACTATGGATCCTTTCCAAGTTAACTAAGACAGTGAAGCTTCGGATTCAGTTATAAACTGTAAAGCTACTCACAAAATGCTTGTCAAAAAGACGACTGTTCCTTGCCATAATCAGTGTTCTCAATTTAATGGCTTGAGAGGTTTGGTTCGTGTAATGGGTGTAGTTTTGAGGTCTTTGGCACAGAATCTGACTCCGTTGCTAGGTATACAAGGATATACTAGCATCTGGATGACTTCCTTACGGCATTTTGCGCACACGAATTGTGACTAGGTTCATTGCAGGGTACATCAGGTCTTATGACGTATTCGTGTCTTTGCAATGTACAGAGCTTGTAAGTGGTTCGGATCCCACTATAAACTGTAGGTCTAAAGGGTGTGGTACAATAGATTCTGTTCTAATTTGAATCGCAGTGCCTCCAGCTGAAAGGCTGGGCCCTTCACACATTATATTATATATCTATGATGGGAATCGAACCTACGTTCTCACGAATATAACGTTTGTTTTCTAACCACTCGACCACAGAGGCTTTAATCTCGCACTGGCAGAATCTACTACATATGACTCAATTCCTCAGATTTAACTTTGCTCAGACACAACAGCAATCAGAAACTATACTTAAGGAACAATATTGATAAATTTTTTATTGATATTAAGTATGAAGGAACAACTGCTCTGCTCAAAAATTCAAAAAAATTTAAGAACATCCGCGTGTGGATACAAAATTGTGATTAGATCGGTAGCAAGTCCCCAGTAAGATAGCCATTCGCAGCTAAATATTTATTTGAATTCAGCATGGAGATTGATAATTTTGCCTATAAAATGCTACTCGTGTTAAATTTAATACCTTTTAACTACATAATTAAATGCTCAGGAAGCATCCTGAGAACTTAGCTTCCTACTATCAACCTGACTATTCCTAGAAAAATCTTCATCCCAATAATGTCCATACTTTTACAAGGTACCAAATGAAATTTACATTCCTTAAGGATATTTATCTTGAGAATCCAATTATTTATTTAATTTTTGTTGATTTTCAAGATTATTTTTTTTTTCTGAGTTAATTAGTCGTTGATGTCAATAATTAAATAAACTATTCTATTCATGTATAAACATTTATAGCGAAAACCTTGGAAATTAAATGAAAAATCTTTTCTTCCTCTTCTTTTTCTTTGGCTTCCTTTTTACGTTTCTTCATTAAAGTTTAATAAATCGATTGATGTTTGAGTCATTAAATTGATTTGGTGGTGTGACAATATTATTAGGAATTGTCGTTGTTATAACATGCTGCTTCTTCTGCTGATTACTATTTGCTATAACATATTCATTACCACTGCCACTATCGTTCTGATAAAATAATTTTGAATGTAAAATATTGTGATCCTCATCGAGCTTAAGTGTATCAAGTGAATTTAAATAGCTATGTTCTGCATGGTCGATATCATTGTCATTAGTATTATTCTGATAAAAATGTTGTTGCTGTTGCTGTTTTCGTCCAGCCATATGATCATATGGCTCATGTGATTGTTGCTGATATTGCAAATATTCATTCATTTTATTACGACGTGGTGTTAAGGTGAGAAAATCACCATAAAATTTATTTCCATTTACTAGCGATGATTTTTTTGATGAATGATTGCTATTACTGCTATTATGACTATTTGGTGATCTGTCGTTTCCATTATATTTTCCATTACCACCAAATTCACCATAATGAGATTTCGGATTATTACGTGACTTTATCAGTAATTTTGTTGGTGATTCCGATAAATCAATACTATGACGACCGCTATAAATGTGAAATTGAGATTGGAAATAAAATGAGAAAATGAGAGAAAATGAAAATTTATGAAGGTACGGAGATGAAATTCAATATTAAATCTTATGCAAATTGAAATATCGATATTATATTACATCTGTATTTTGAGCTAGGGGCGGCAGAGATAAGTACCAGAAATGAAACTTTTGCATATTTTTTTTTCATCTCTCATTTTAAAATGGCATAGGCATATTGTTGCTGCTTTTTCCGTTTGTTCATCTTTTTCTGTTTGATCGCCTTTGGACTTAATTTCGAAGAATTTTTTTTTATGACTAAGGATATTTTTCCAAATTTAATATCCTTATTGCTTCTTACTTTCACTCGTAATTGAGCGAGAAATTTATTGCGTAAAAATATACAGCCTTGAGATATCAAAATTTCGAAGTAAAAAATTTGTGCTTGTTTTTCTCAAGAATCTTAATTTAAATCAAATTTTTCCCTTTTATTTTGTAACTTAATCTTTGAGATTGTTTGATTTTGATTTAACCCAGCGAGTTCTTTTTCTTCTGCATTGAAGATCCAGTGCTGGTTTCTTGACTTACAAACGGCACCCTCTTCTCGAATTAAATATTGATGTACTTCATTTTAGGATCATAAACTTAATTCTATTGTGATTAGGATAAGATCTAGAATCGGAAAGACCTAGAAAATGATCCCTGAATTTGATATCAAAGGATTTAATGGGAATTAAAGTTTTTTATCTTTTCTATATTTGTTTCCATAGTCTTTCTTGTTTCATCTTAAATGATGAATTTTGCAGTGGAAACTGCTCAGTGTAACATCCCGAAGTTCTGACAACTGCTCAGCTGCAACTTGGTTTCAAATATCTTATCCAGTGTTGTCCAAACTGTGTGCCGCGGCACACTGGTGCGCTGTGTAATTTTTTTGGAAATGACCCAAGCCGCGTGCTGTATGTGACTTTGTCATGGCTTACCCCAAAAATGTGCCGTAGCTCAAAAAGTTTGGACAACACTGATCTAATCTAACAGTTTGTGAAGTGTAAATAAGACTCAATTTGTACTGATCAAGTTAACATTAGTCATAAAGAGTGACCATCGAATGAAAAACTTCTTGAAAAAGCAGATCAAAAGAAACCAACAATGAGATACTAATGAAGAAGTATGACTTAATTGGATATAAACTTCGTAAGAAAAAATACAGAAAGAATGTCATTGTTGGGACAGAAACACAAGTTTGCTACACCATCTTTGGTTGGATAAGACAAATGGTACAAACTAGGTAGGCAAATGGTACTGACAGAGTTTGATAGAAATCCATTTTTGTAACGTAAGCTACACATAGGAACATGGTTTCTGTAGGTAAGTAATTAATCTTACATAAGTGTCCTGAGTTCAGTTAATGTATGAGTTAAGAAAACCATGTATCCATGATTCTAATAAATGACTATATCTAAATTGAGTCACATTCAAACCAGACCTAAAACAAGTAGCATTGAGTACATAATTGCCATGTCTATCGAAGCTGAATCGGATTTTTTGCTAACAAAAATCCACAGATATATGCGTTTCTACCTTTTTAAACTCCCAAAGGAACATCCACAACTCTTAAGAAAGAAAACATTGAATTAAGTACGTCTCGTTAATTTCGCAATCTTCTGATCTGAATTGATAATAAAATTCTATCGCACATAAATCATCCATATCTAACCATTTTACTCTAAAAACAATTTATCAAATTATTTGAGCGCAGCAGCAACAGCAGCCAAAAAATTCAAGTGTCATACCCTTTTCAAAATAATAATAATTTCATTTCGGAATGGTAACCGCGAGGGATGACAACAGAATATAATTTTTTTCCCCGTCTCTTACCTTATTTGCAATTTTCCATTATCACCAAAGTTTCTAATTTCAGAAGTTTGTTGTTTCTCTACCGGCGACACATTTGAGTCGATTTTGTTGTTGCATTGGGCATCTAGTTTAAGGGAATATACAGAGAAATATGGATGACGAAATGGGAGTGAGAGAGTAAAAACTTTTTTTAATAATAAAAGTCAATCAGAAGTTGATAATGGGATACTTGGGTATAATATTGAGTAAAGCACAAAGAAGTAGCGACGTAGAAATATTGAGACACTTGTGAAGTAATAACAGTTATAAGCACTTGATATTGTTGCTTTTATCATTTTTCGGATGAGATTGCAAAAAAAATATACTAACTTACTGTGATGTACGGGTGCTCGTTGAAGAAGTGCTAATCGTTCCTTTCGTGGCCCAGGGCTGAATGAAGTGCGACCTGATGGACAGAAAAAAAAATAATGAGATACGTTAAGATAAACATCACGTAATTAAATTGACTTTTTCTATCTCACCAGTAAAATTAACAGGTCCTGTATCATCGAGGCAATTTGATGATTCCGTTCGGCTTGTCGCATCAAGCTCCCGGCTTACAGTATCACTATCTGAATTTAGACTATCATATTCTTCTGATTCTGTATTAAATTTTTTCGACTTTTTTCTTGATCGTGGACCAGTGCCTATAGCAGTCATCCCACCTACACTACTTGACGTCCTGTGCTTCTTTGATAAATGCATTGCTTCTCTCGAATCATAAATCATTCCCTGTGCTGCTTGCTGTCTACTTGCGTTATCTCTTTTCTCTTGATCCTTTAAATGAAATGTCGCATACGGATAGATATCATCTGAATATTCCGGTATTCTTTCAAGTGCACTATCAAGACCAGGTGACGATGGTTTCCTTACTGTCTGATAATACTGTTCTCGATGCTCTGAAATGGAGAGTTTTGTGTTCTTTCCATGTTGATATGTCGTTGTAAGCTGCTGTTGGCGTGACGTATCATGCTCAAAAATATCTCTTCCATCTGTGCATTTTATAATATACAGCATAAAGGGTTGGTTATTTTACGTTTAAAGAAATTGGAATGTAAATTAGTAATTAATTATAATTAAGATTGATTGAGTGAGAAAAACTTGATAATTAACGCAACTCTGTCTCTCGCCCAATCTTCTCTCATTCACTACTTTATCTTAATTTAATGAAGGAAATAGATGAGAGAGTAAGCAAAAGCTGAGCATAAATCATTATTATTTTTATTAAATTAGGATATCACACAATATCATGTGGAAGCAAAATAATCGTGAGAAAAGAAACTTTTCCATGAAAAACAATCTTTATTACATTAACAATACAAAATTTAATCCTATATTAACTGTCTATTATGAGTTTCATTGGACATAAACTGTAATTGATATGAGAAATTACTCGGAAGATTTGTAACGCGCTGAATATGAACAAAGAAATTAATAGTATCATATCTTTTGGGAAAGGAAAAAGAATTACGGATTTGATAACAGAGTATGGATGTAGGTCTGGATCTAGAGATGTAGTTCTTAAAGTTTTAGCTCCCAATTCACGACACTTAAAAATATTTTTAATTCATACCTCCCGTAACTATAATTAAGAAACAAAACTCTTATTCAATTCGAGGACCCCCAGTAGTGTGTCGACGTTAATAGTTTGAGTAGCACAGATCAGCACCAAAATTCAAGTCAACATTCTAATGACTCACATGATTCACATTTTGACTAAGAATTTAATTAAATGATTTAAACAATAAAATGATAACTTTGAAACCTTATCTTTTATGGATCATTAAACCAAATTAGCACGAAAAATAAAATGCTTCCAATTATTTTGCATCCCACAATCTCTCCACGATATATCTAATTTAATGATATGACTTACATAATTTCAAGAAGAAACACAATCCCAATAACGCCAAGATGATGGCAAAAAGTGATATGATTGAGACTGTAAGGATATGTGAATCGCTGAAGAATAAATCGTTAGACTCGTACTCCATGCCATTTGCAATTTCAATCGAGTTCATTGGAACTGTAAATGTATTTGATTACGTATTAAAATTAGATTGTAATTTTTATGTGCCATCATAAAATTCATACCTCCGGCAATATTGAATGTTTCAAATGTATATTCAGCTACAGTGTTACCAGCATTATTGTGTGCTTGTATTCTCAAGTTGTATACATTCGATGGCTCCAGATCTCCAATTGGAAAGCGTGCTTGTGATGCAACATTACTAGAAACAATAATCCAATCGTTCGAATAACGTTTCTTATACTCAATAGTAAAATATAATATTGGACATCCACCATTTTGCCATTCGATAAGTTCAAGCATCACCGAAGTTATATTCACTTTGAGGAATTTATCAATATGTGGAGCGACGGGTTTTTCACCGACAGTTTTTATTGTTAAAGTATCACTTGCACTTCCGCTTCCAATTTTATTGAGAGCAGCTATTGTAAATTCATATTCCGTTCCACATTGAAGATTATCGAGTGTATAGGAATTACTTCGTCTATCAATTATAATCTCATGCCATTCACCAAAATGTCGACGGTACGTCAGCAAATAGTTTTTAATTGGTGATCCGCCTGTATCGAATAAATTCCAATGCAATGTTGCTGATGTCGGGGAATTTGCTGAGCCTTGTAATTTTGGTCCTCCTGGTGGAACTTGTACAAACAATTGATATGTAATTTTATCAGCACCCGATGGGTTACGAACATTGCACGTATAATTGCTTTCATGTATTCTCTGGACATTTCGTAATGTAAGCGTATTGTCTTCACCAATTTCTAAACGATGTTGTTTTGCGCGTTCATTTTCAACATTCCAATCAGCCGATGGCATCGGTTTTCCTACATAGATACATGCCAATTTTACATCAACTTTCCATGCAACTGTTACAATCTGTCCAAAACTAACAATTTGTGGAAGAACTTGTGACGATGGATAAAGTTTCACAACTGTAGTTGATGGTCCGGAACCCAATTTTGTTGATGCTGTAACCCATGCCTCATAACTCTCTCGTGAATTAAGATTTTTTGCTTCATAGTGATGATTTTGTGCTGGCAATGTATATTTTAGAATTTTTTGTTCCTGTCCTTTTTCAAGCACGCGTATAAAAATTGTAAATAGAGATAGAACTCCATTGGGACGTCGTGGTGGTAACCAGCTTATTATTACAGAATTCTCGCCTGTTGTTAAAGCTTTGATTTTTTCAGGAGCATCCGGTGTTGATTCCTGTCAAAGATACAAAAATATTTCAAATGAATATCAAGTGAGTCTAAGTTTAAGCATTAAGTTAAACTTACCTCGGTTCGACAAATTAATTGTGAGCTACCAACACCCTCGCCTGCACGAGTGAATGCTTGCAACTGTACAGAATAATTTGTAAATGGCTGAAGGCCATGCAACACTGTACTGAGAGAAGTCGTAACTTTTGTCTCACGATTTGTATACTCATTAAGGATATTACTCGGCTCGTATAATACTTTATAGCCTTGAATCTCACCATGAATATGCTTTGCTGGAGGCGGTTGCCAATTAATTTGAATATTTTGTGCTGTTAAACCTGAACAGTGAACTTTTTGGGGAGGTGCACTTGGCACATCTTCAAGTGTTTGTATTTTAATTGCTTTTGATGGTGGACCATCGCCTTTGGCATTGAATGCTAATACATTTACATTGTACGATGTATATTTATCCAAACCTGTCAACCGAAATTCATGAATTCCGTCAACGCCCGATGTTCCCATTCGACTATAATTATACGATTGATCTATGCTCTCAGATTTATGGAAACCAATTGCATATCCTAAAATTTCTCCATTCCATACATCACGTTCAGGCGGTCGCCATGTCACTAAAAGCTGTGTTGATCCAATTGCTTCGACATTAACTTTTAGAGGTGGACCACCGGGATTTTCTGGGTCAGTTTGTATATGTAAAGCTTCACTTGCCAAACTCATGCCTAAATCATTTTCAGCAAATAATCTGAAATGATAGCTTGTTGAGGGTTTTAAATTTCCAATATGTGCTGAATTCTTATCTCCACTAATTACTTTTTGGTTATACTCTTGCCATGCCTCTTGACTCTCTTTATGCTGCAAAATGTATCGTGTTACAGGCTGTGATTCTGCATAGCCAACTGTTTCATATTTATCTGCATTATTCCACATTAATGTCACAGAACGACTTCCGATTTCCTTCACATGAATATTTTGTGGTGCACTTGGTGGTTCCTGAACTTGTAAATGAATAACTTGATGGTCATGCCCAAATTGATTTGATGCTACACAGGTATATTCTCCACGATCTGACAGTACTGTTTGTAATAATGTTAGTTCCGATATAGCTCCTTTTGACATGTCATTCTTTTTAATCTCGTAACGAACATCATATGATTTTCCAATAATTTGACCATTCTTAAATCTCCATGTGATGTCTAATGGCTTGTCGCCATCTGCTTCACATCGTAATGTAATCCTTTCACCCCTACGCACCGATACTTGTTTACTACGTACTATAACATGCGGTCCGACGTGAACTGTCAATCGTATTAATTTACTCAATCCTGCTCCAATTCCATTGTGCGCTTGACAAAGAAAGAATCCTTCATGCTCTCTTGATACATTATGAATCATCAACGTACCGTTGCTATAACTTTCAATACCCGATGAAGCATCACTGTATGTTAATTCCCGATAATCGCCTGACTGTTCGCCCAGCGACTGCTTCCATTGAAGTACAGGATTTGGGAAACCTTCAGCACTACATGTAATTGACAGTGAAGTTCCTAAAATTGCACTTTCATCTTTTGGTTCAACTATCCATCGTGGTGGAACTAAATTAAAATTTTACGAAGGACGATAAAAAATTTATTAGAATAAGTTTTGTACCCAAATTTGAACAGAATAGAATTACAATCCCAAAAAATCTACAAACATTTCAAAAGTAGAATACACAAAAAAAAGTTTTCATGCAATTTACACACAGGCACAAAACTAGAAATAGAAATAGAAAAAAAAAATCTGTCATCACCTAAAATCCTCCGAACTCACAGAAAATTGTGGTTCCAAAAGTTTTTTTTTTACCTTTTATTATGCTCTTTGTTCTTTCATTCACTCGAAGCTACAAAAGAGTTTGCTAAAAGCTTAAAAGTTTTGCATAGGACTAAAAAAGCTCTGCGTAAGCATATACTCAGAAAATGTAATTAAAACGTTGTTGATGATAAGTTATAAGAATGAATTTACAGAGAGATTTTATGAATTTAAACTCGAGTGGGAGAACTGCTGTATTTATTTTTGACGTTTAAAAATATTTTTCAGGAAAGATTTGAGAGTATAATGTACCGCAATGAAAAGTTTTTCAGGCAAGAGAAACTGAAGTTTTTGTTTGTGGACATTTTTTTGCGGTGAAATTTGTTTCCTGTATTTATTAAATGCTTGTTTCACATTTTCTTGTCGATTTTTATGTAGACATGAGGGGTATATTCACTTATGACGTTTAAAACTGTTAAACGATGAAAACATCAATATGATGACAATAGAACTGTTCTTTATGAATACAACAAGAAGAAGGTTTAAAAATCAGTATTGCTTAAGAAATTCACGATCCCTGGGAAAATTATCTCTAGAAATACAAAAATCTCAATCTATTACTTGCCAAGTTTCAATTAGTATATATTCAATTATATTAGCCATCATACTTTTTGGAATGTAATAGATTGCTGCTTGTACTTTAAGAGTTGAACAGTTGAAAAGTAACTAGTAAGTATTAGTCATATCAATACATTCAAGTATCATATTGAACCTAATCATAAGTATATTTCGAGTTTTGGCTCAGTCAGGAATCGTCCACACAAACTCACATTAGAAATGATTAAAGAGTTAAGATGGGAAAACACATCAGTTGACAATCAGGATTGTTTCGTTATTCTATGACATAACTTAAAAAAAACCTTTACCTATTCAGATCAAATGTGATCCAGAGGTGCGCTAGGGCGTTTCGTAGCTAATGAGAGTTTAACGAGCGAGGATGCGCGATACCACTGCACTCAAACCTAGACCTACAATTTATAGTGGGATCCGAACCACTCCTTTGCTGACATTTCTGCCTGTAGCCTACAAAGGAAGGCTGTGGGCCTCATTTCCAGTACATATGATTCGAAAAAGAACAAGTGAAAAATTTCTCATGCCCAGTCTCGAACCCATGATCGCTGTGTCGGTATTGCAATAATTAGGTACCGAAGTACTAAACCATTCCACCACCGAGCCACTTCAGCTCACAACATAACTTAAATTCCTCTATAATTCGACATCACAAACAGTATACGCGTGGGACGGAAACAAATTAAAATCTTGAGTATTAAGCTATTTGTAAGAGAAATTGTGAGGGTCGGAGTTCAAATGGTTAAGGAAGAGATAAAAAAATTTTAATCTCTTTTTTGAAAACTAGGGTTTGATTCCTACAAGAGGTCGATTTCTCAATCAGTATTAGTATATGTTATCCAGGAGTTTAAACTCAAAAAGTGTTTCAAGTTACGTTCAGTAATAAAGTGGATTCAAAATTTTCATTAAGAATCTTCACGATTTGGAATCTCAAAATCAAGTTATTCTTAAAAAAGTTTTTAAAAATCTATGTTAATTTATTTAAATGAACACTTTTACTCTGAAGGAATTTCATAGTGTTTATGTCTTTTTTTAAATGTTTCAAATGAATAACAAATCCTTGACAGTGTCAACAATAGTTTTTCATGTAAATAAACTTCATTTCTATTGTCTGAAGATAGTTTTCTTAAAAAATTAATCCTAGATGCTGCATTTCAACCAAAAAAAATTAAACCGTGACGTTTTTTTTCTGTTACATTACCCACATTCATTTGCAAGTTTTCATCTTCACATACCTTTTCAATCCTTTTGTCACATTTTAACCCCTTTCCCTCATGCACACACCATTTAACAAACATATATGCATTTTTTACTTTCATAGCTATAATTTCATTCATCTCAATTCCATTTTCATTTATTTTCGCATTGCTGAAACATAAATTGTTCGTCGAATTCCAGAGATATCTCACTAGATGTGCTTCACTTTCAAGTGCAATTCTCACACTCATAGAAAAAAAGTAACCATAATATTTGTTATATGTTTGTTAAACTAGTTTAACAAATTATTGGTTAAGTTTACATGGGTAAAAAAAATTTCAACCAAAGTATTTGTTAAAAATTTTACAATTGAGTTTGTTAAATCAACAAATTTATTTGTTAATAATTGATTTAATTAAATTTTAATTTTTGTATTCAAAACTCTTGTTTGATTAATTTCAAACGATTCCCATTAATTTATTGCGTTATTCTTAATAAGAAAACTGTTTTAAATTGAATTTTGTTGATTTTGTTTAACAAATTAATTTGTTAATTTTAACAAAACATTTGTTACAATGTTTTTATTTGTAATTTGTTTTGGAAAATAATGATTTACAAACCAAATCGTAATTTAAAAATTAAATTTGTTCATTTTTTTAAGTCCTACATTTCTATTTTATTATTCATAAATTAATTTTAAAATTTGGATATATTTTTTAAAGAATTATTTATATTGGTTTTGAATCAAATTTTATAAGTAAAAGTTTACAAGCAGCGGACTAGCGGATCATCAACAGGAATTCAGAAGTTAAGCAACCACGGAAACATTTTAAAATAAGATGGGTGACCAAATTAACAATTTTCTGGTTAATATTAACCGAAAATTTGTTATTTTTTTCTGTAAAAAAAAATTTTAACAAAAAGTTTGTTAAATTAACAATTTTTATAGTTAACAATTCAACCTTACAAATAATTTGGTTAAATTTAACAAATAAGTTCGTAAACACTATTTTAACGAATTGTTTGTTAACATTTTCCATACAAGTTACAAACATTTTGTTACTTTTTTTCTATGAGTGCACATATATAGATGTGTGTGTATACAGTTCCACATAATAGTGCAATAGTGATAAAAAAAAACTGTGCATATATAAAAATATGTGAATAAAAAAAATACTTTTTTTTAGCTATTTGAAGAGTAGAAATTTTTTCCTTTTCTCTTTTGGAATGGAATGTCGAAATCTTTCATGGATAAAAAATCTTTCATTTTTCATCGTCATAGTAAATTTTATTTTCTGCATTCGTTATTTACAGTATGCTTGAAAGCATAAAAAATTGCTTTTTGCTTTAATGGTTTTTCTTATACATTTTTTGACAGCAATTACTTGTCCTTCTGTGAAAATTTACGGACATAAATGGTGTTTTTATTATTCCTTTATATAATAAATGTATTCCATTGTGATGGCCAGAAAGATGGGAATCTGTCATAAATAATTTAATAGGATATACTGTATTAACTTTCAAGAGATTTTAAATTATTTTTTTTTTTGAACTTTTTTTGGATATTTCTTATCTTGGTGATTCTTAAGATGGTGCTTTTACTTATTACGCTATGTGTGTAAATGTAATCGACACTCATCTGGTTAAAAACTAGACTTGTTTTAAACTCGGGCATAATGATCCTAGTATCATGAATAAAATAACTCAACACTTTTGTTCAAAAAATTGTAATTAACGATCATTCAAAAAAAACTCTTTGTACTTGTCTCAAAACGCATACCTGCTTTGTTTTTTCTCAAGGGGGTAACAACATGACTAATTCCACCACGCGTGGCCACGATGGGAAACTTCTTTTCGTATTGTAAAATCAGCTTAAATTATCCATCAAGTATTTTTCTCATCATGTTGCTATCCCCTTGGTTTTTTTCACGTTGATGCACTTAAGATAATTACACGAAATGGAACTGAAGCCTCCTTCCATTATAATGATTATAGCTTTACTGATTCAAAATTATTTTCTTCCTTTATTGCAGAGCATTGCTTCCAAGATGTAGACACTTGGTTTTAACTGTGCGATGATCAATGCACGATTTTAAAATGCAAAAGATTTTTTAAACTTAGAACAGCTTTGAGGGGTCGTTCACTTATGACGTCAGAATTTAACGATCATTTTTCAAAAAAAACTACAATTTATATTGTTCATTTCTTGCTGACTCCCTACCCTTGGCTAGAAGCTTAAAAACGTTTATTTGAGCAAAACTTGAGTCACAATTTTTGAGAAACTGAAAATTTTACACCGCTTGACTAATGTCTAAAGTTCTTTTTTCATACAAAATAATTACAGGAATATTCCATGATTGTAAGCGATTCTTTTGTGTGCATAATATTCACAACTTTCAATAGTTAGCGAAGTGTAAAATGAGATTTCAGAAGTAGATTTATAAGAGTCATTTTGTTACTATGGAAAAATTAAAGTTTCATCTTTTGAAAGCCTTAATATTGCAATAAATGAAGGTTTGAATCAGTTTCTATAGATATTTCAATTATTGTGCATTCCAAACTGCTAGTAAAATTCAGGTCAGGTTGTTCAATCAAAATCAAATTTAACGTGAAGTAATTAACTTAAATTGAACTATTTGTAATTTTTATAATTTCTTGTAGCCAATTGGATTTGTAAGGTTAAAGAATATAAGCTTCAAATCCAATCTTCAATCCGATTCAGAGTTGGAAAACAATATCAGGGTTGTGTTTCAATATCAAAGGCAATAAAGTCTAACAAGCAAAACTTGTTAAAGATTTTGCCATCTATACCTGTACTTGATATATACTCTCATCGAATTGATACGTTTATATAATTATATTCAATCATATCCAATGTAAAGGACATTTCAAAACATTGATCCATGATTAATATAAAGACTGATAATCCATGCTATTCTCAAAGGATAACTTAGCTCATTTATGTTCATGATAAAGTTTCAGTAGTTATTAATTAATCAACAGTATAATTAATCAGAAAATCTTGAGTAATTCCATCAATCATCAAAATTATCTATCAGATATCCATGATAGAGATCATGAAAAATGTTTTTTTTTACTTACAAGCTGTGCAAAAAATTGTGCTTAATAAAAAGTGTGGTTTAGAATTTTTAAATTGTACATATTGTGAGAGTTTTGCGGGTGCTTGACATTAAAACAGAAAAAAAAACTCCTCTCTTTTATAATCATCAATTATTTACCAGATACTGATAATACAGCAGTATAATCGACACTTCCAGCTGTATTTGATATCTGACATGTATAATTTCCATTATGCTGTGACGTTATGTTATGAATCGTAAGAATACTTGAAAGAGCTTGTATGGTATTGATTTCAATTGTTCTTTCATCAAATTGTTGTCGATGGATTGAGTTAAAAGTAGCAAAAGATGACGATGACGAAGATGATGATGATGATATCGGATCGATTTGTTCTCCAACCCTAAGTGATTTTCCATCTCGATACCACGTTATATTGAAAGGTTGATCTCCTTGAGTACTCGTACACATTGTTTGAACCCTCATGCCTTCTTGAATGTCATCACCAAAATTGAATGGTGTAATACGAGGAGGAACTGTGATATAAAAATATTATATTGCATAACATACAGGATATAAAATCATAGAATATCCAAAAAATTAGAAATCAATTGATTTAATATTTAAATCTCTCAATCAGTATTCATATTTCATATTGGGAGCAATGAATTTTAATCTAATTTTCATAAACCACTTTTCTACTTCCATTTTGAAAATGTTATTTACTCCTATACACAGTGAAGCTTTGAGTATGCCAGTGGATTTTATTCCTGTACATAATTATGACAACAATAGAAAATCGTTTGCTCCAATTATTCAAAAGAGCTTTGATCAAAGGCTTTTAGATGGAACAGTTCTCAATGAATAGCTTGTTCTATGGGGCTGAACTAACTTCAAACGCTTATAACGTTCAACACTTTGAGACTAATCAAAATTCATAAACTTCTTGAGTTTGAAAGTTTGATTTTAGGAATTCTGGTTCTTTTAATCATGGGAGGAGCAAATAGGGGTTTTATGAGGTCTAATGCAATTCAGAACCCCTTTAAAAAATATCCTGTTTATGATTGAACCTGCTGGTTCGTAGCAAGGCGGACGGGTTGAAAAGTAGACCCTCAACAAGTCGCTCTTTTAAGGAAATTTCTTTAATTTTTTAGAAACGGAAATTTTTATCGTCATCTGAAATTGAAAACTGCATAAAAACTTGGTCATATGACCATACATGTATCATCATAATTTTTTGATCAAGAAATAAAATCCATTGGCTCTCATCCCTTAATTCTTTTAATTCCCAAACATTTTAGATTAAAATTTTGTTTTTTCATTAAAAATATTATTCATGTTACCAACACCATTCACCACACAAATGTTCGCAGTGAACTTTAATTATTTTTCATTAACGATAATCTTAGCCACATTACGAACGTTCAATAGTCGCGTTTTAAAAATTACATTATGAGATTTTAAATTGCATTAAAATGGTAGTTAATTGTATGTATTCATATAATGATAATATAACATGCAAGAATCAGTTCACATATGGTACATAAGTGCATATTAAAAATGTTTTTCACACAGAAAAACGGGAACGGGAGATAAGGAGGTTATGGGAGTGTGCATTTTAATATATTTTGATCTCCATAATTTGCAATCAAAAAATAATAAATGAGGAAATAATTTTTTCTACGTGAAAAGTTCATATTAGCTTATGGCATTGATATTATCACGATTTTAGCTTTTTTAATTACTATTATCATTATGAAAGCTTTTGTATAATTTTTTTAAAAATAGGCTTGAATTTCATATTCATATTTTCATTGTTGAATGGTATGCATGAGGAATAAATGAATGAGAATCAGGATGTTCGTACGGGATTATTCATGATTTATGTGTTTGTGTGCTGCTGTTGCTGTTGCTGTTTCACCGTAGAATGTAATTTTAATGTCACATATAACACCAACAACATAGATGCATGTATACATACTCTCATATCTCGAAGCTTAAACTGCTCCATACATAAATGTGCTATATATTATATCGCATCTCCCACACGAAAATGACTGGGTTTTGATTTTTAACCGCACAATGCAATTCATTGTACACCCTATCTCACTTTACTTTATCATATTGCTGATACTCACATTGCATTTTATTTTTTATTTTTTATTTTTCATATTTAATTTATTCCCTTTTTGAGCATTATACGTTCATCTGAGCTGATGTGATAATCGAGCATATAATTTTTCAATACCATTTTTTAATTAACACACATAGATTATGTGAAAATTATTTTAAAATGGATTTTTTTTTCTCTCATACATCGCTTACCTACATTATATTCCCTATTGGCATGTATTCTATTTAATGCTTTTTATGAAACATAGCGTTTTGGGTTTACTTTGATCATGCTTATGTTATCGAATTTGATTGGAAACCACATCTGTGTAATATTAATTTTCATGATTAATTATCTTTGTTAGTGATTTCCAATCATAATCAGAACTAAGTGCGATATGTGCGTATAATTTATGTAATGGATTTTTTTTTGTGCTTAAAGCTCTTTGGCACACCATGCTTTTGACAACGGTCGTTCAATGAGCTTTTTGTTCCTCAATCATTCCATATACCCGAGTAAGACAACGTAGACACCAAGGTAGTCGTGGAAATAATAAAGTGTCAAAAAGTTCTGCTTGCCACGATAGCAAAAATCAAGTTCCATAAAGTTTGCAGCTCGGGACAAACCAACAAAATTCGATGCCATAGGAAATCAATTTAAAATCGAGGCCACAAACTTTTCTCTAAACACCGAAATTTGACCATTAAGAAAATGTCATCAGCAACTGCTTTAAACTTAGAAAATCTTCAATCAATTAAAGTTAAATAAGAAAACCTTGTAATAACTTATCCATGCATGACTATTTATCTCCATAATACATTAATTAATTAAGTTGGATTTGTCATGGAAACGAAAATTCATATTAATGCATGAGAGTCAAGTGATTTATTTATTGTGTCTCTTTAAACATATTCAAATATGTGTATTTATTTATATGATTAATTGTGAACTAGTGCAGATGCTTTATGTGAAGAACAAAGTTAAATCAATGAGTTTGAATATTGTTTAACTAAGTTTTACAAAAATAAAGCTTTTTAGCATCCTACTGACGTCAGATTTTTCAGATAGGTGCATAGCAGTAGTGTTGTAGCTAATCTAGGTTTTGTGTAGACAAAAGCATATTCAATTGTACCCAAAAGTGTCTGTGTAGATTAAATGATTAATGTAGTAGTGAAAGATATTGTGCTATAATCTAGGAAGCTATAGAAAAATGTGTAACATCCAACAGCAGCACACCATTATTCTTAGAAAAATGCAAGATAAAATTCAAAGAGTTTCCTGCTTTAAGCTAAAACCAACCTCATAAAAATTACCAGCTGTTGTATTTAAGGGATAAATTTTAAAAATAACAAACTAGCTGGGAAGTTTAAAAGAACATGCACATAATGTCTTCATCCACATAAAAATTAATTTTTTAAAAAGAACTCGTTTACAGGAAATTTGTACACAGCATTATAATTGTTATTCATGATTGAAAATAACTGCTAAAATAAGCTTAAAATTTAAAAAAAAAAAACAAAAAGCATATCCTACAAGTGCTTACAGTGAGCTTACATACGCTTATAAAAAATAATCAACAGCATGCTGCGAAGGTTACTAAACGTAAAATAAAATATAACAGATAGAATAAAAAATTTCGTTGTTTGTTAATACCATTGACTTTTAGTACAGCAGCGTATTGAACGACTGCCGCATCATTCTGGACCCGACACGTATATTGACCAGCATGAGACTGCCGAATACTGATTATACTTAATGCACTAGTAAACTCGTCATTTTGTCTTATCATTATAGAATTATTGTCGTCAGTACCGTCCTTATTATTAAGACGTTTATCGTTATTGTAACGTGAATCTCCATTAATATTGTCATTCGCACCTCCTGCTCCTGATTGTTTTATGGGCACATTATCTTTAAGCCAGGTGAATACTAATGGCAGATCTCCAGTTCCTGCAACACATTGTATACTCGTTCTGTCTCCAACATTTAACTCCTTCGAGAATTCAAAATGTGATATCTTTGGTGGAACTGTGTATCATATCATGTGTCGAGTCAAGGGCGATATAAAATGTAAGTAGAGCAGGCAATGGTAGAAACACAAATGGTAATAAACAACACATTTAAACAACATTTAGTGCAGATTACATAATTAAATGATATTTTATGCGGTGAGTTTTTATATTTATAAATAAGACCAGTGCCAGTGCCAGTGCGGTTTATATATATTTTTTTTGGTGCAAGTTTGCGGTGTAAAAAAGAAAAGTGTACAAGAAAAAAAAACAGCAGTGAGAAAAGAAAAAAGGGAAAAGTGAAAAATTACTTCATTTCTGCATCATAAAATTTCAATTTGTTTGATGAGAAAAAGTAAATTTTGAATACAGTAAGTGTAGCTACAATGGCAACAATATAATCCCAACATTCATCAATAAGATACTCTTTCGTATTTCAACAATTGTTGGATAATAAATTTACGAAGCTGTTTCTGAATCTCAATCAGAATCCCATCCATGTAGATTGAAAATTGATATTGAGTTCAATTTTATTAAAATGGAAATTTGAACCATAAAATGTCAGACTTCAATTTTATTTCTCTAAAGATTCTTAACATTCTCTCTATTGGAACTATAATTCCTGTGAATTACTATGTACATCATTTTTGCAGACGTTAAAAAGTTGTAATCAGTGAAGAATTTTTGAGTCAATTATAGGGAAGTGCTCTATTGAATAGTGAAGCTTGAACGTGCAATTGAATGTGTTAAATCCCGATTCAGTTATGATCATTGAAGCTAGAATATGGAGGATTTTATCATACATGTATGAATTTATAAGATATGCTCCATAAAGTATGGATTCATGCTCAATTGAGTTTCCTGAAGTTTTATGAATGCGCAAATTTTAGTGGTCCTTTAAATACGCATTCTACATCCAACAAGTTGATTTATGTATACATCCTATTCAGATAGGATTTGTACCTGCATCTTCTATGCATCAGAAGTGATCTTCAACCAAGTGATTTACATGCAACTTGACTACGGAGATATTTGGCTAACTTTAGCAATTCGATATACTCAACCAAACATTTCATCGAATAACCCGAGCAACAATGAATCCTCATTGCGGCGTCTTTATCCTGCTTGTTCAAAAAACTCATTTCCCATCATATTGTTATGCCCTCGGTATCTCCATACTGTTCCCTATACTAAGTTTAAGTAGCACTGGATTTGACCAAATCAATCGACAGAACACACAGTTCCGATAACTTGAAACTCATTGTACTTCTCGGTCCATGAACATTTTCCATCTCAAGCTCAATCAGAAGTAAAATTCATTCGAGAAAACTTCAAATTCAGTCAGTAGGAAATTATTTTCCTCCATCAAAATAACACCGAACCGCAGAAAATTTCAGCTCATTTCATTTAACTGCCAATTGCATGTCACAAATTTTTTAACACAGTAACCACCCAATGGAATATCCTTACACTGTGTATACATAACATGAGCATCATATTGTGCATGTGAATATTGTTTTTCATTTATTTAAATAATTCATAGTGGGAGAGAAATGGAGCTTGTCAGTATCACTCATTTCTTGTTCAATATTATGTTGATATCAGCAGAAAAACCTCATAATCGAAAAACTGACTGCTCTGCATTGATATTTAACTTTATATTATTCAATTTTCTGTTCTTTCCTCACATTGATGTGTCATGTCATTTGCAGTATCACAATGATGGCAAAAAAAATATATATAAATGGCATGAATACCGAAATACAACAAAATAATATGCATAGGAAGTCTTATCGATAAAGAAAGCGTGTAAGAGAAAGAAGTAAAGAAAGTGAAATGAAGTAGAATGGAACTTAAATAAAGTTCCTTTACTACAGAAATAAAAGAGAAATTCTTGCTTTTGTATTTTTTTTTTCCAGCTCGTATCACAATATTTGACAGCTATTTACAGTAGAAAAATGCCACATTTACCATGGAATCTTGACTTCTTCTCTCTCTTTCTCTATGTCATAATTGTGTAGGTATATATACTGATTTACTTCGTATCCATAGAGGAGGAAAAATGTCAAAAATATCAACAGAGGTTAATATTTGTAAGTGCAAAGGCAAAAGTTGAAAGAAAATGAATCTTGGAAGAAGGAAATTTTTCTGACATTTTATGAACACAAACAGAATTTACTGTGATTGTGGACAGAGTTGGTAGTTTGATGACCAAGAGCATTAATTGTTGATTTTGTTGGTTTTTACATTAGAAAATAAATTTTATATTTTCTGTGTCTTTATGAGAGCTTTAACTACTCCTGAATGTAACACTGCAAAATAAATGCGAATAGTTGAATCATCAAACTGTCATATGACTAGCGAGCGGAGACTAGGATTTCACAAAATCTTATCTAAATTGCTAAGATAGTGCAGTAGAAGTTCAATCAACACAATAATACTGTCAATATTATTTCATATCTCAGATAAGGGCACGAGTAAATGATAAAGTCTGAAAATTCACGAATGATCCTAACAAAATACAGCCTTGGAGCAGTTTTAAGGGCTTCTGAGGCACTTTGCCCTAACTTTCAATCGATAACAGATGAAATACACTTTAGGGTGTAAGCGTTTGCTCTATGAACCAGACCCTGGTAATAGTTTAAGAAAATTCGTCCCTTTTTATCCGTGTAAAAATCAAATTCATATTCTCAAAAAATGGTGATTAGCTTTCAACTCCCCTTCAATCAACGACTAGCTTTCACCTCTATTCAGCAAACATTTTTAAGATTACTATATGCATGTCGTAATCACAGACCTATCTCCCTTAAATACATTCTTAGAAATATATATTAAATATTTCCAGATGCTTGTCAAGCAATCACCTTTGAATAGCTTAAAAATGCAAAAATAAACATTTTTGCTCATCAAAGAATTCAATTAAATTTAATTTTCCACAAAACCCATTCAAAAAAATTGTAATCAAGACAGCATGAAATCACTTTAGTAGATTGCCAATTCTGACTCAGTGTGGTAGAGCAAAATACGCTCGGTATGTACAAAGTAATTTGAAGATATTATTAACCAGAACCTCAAAGAAGCTAAAATAAATTGAAGTTCACATCAAATGAGAAAAAGAAGATATGCTTTTTATGGTTAACAAATTTCCGTGTCATCAATTTCCTTTCTTTTGTTGTGTGTAATATATTACAATTTAATATCATTAATCTGCTTTTATCGACGTCGTATATAAATTGTTGAGTCGTTTGTGTGGAGAATTTCCTCATTTCTTTTCTGAAAAGAATATATTGCATCATTAAAGGTAGACTCACCAAGAACTTTAACGTCAACCGACTTCTGAGATGAAATTTGTTGCTTTCCTCGTGCTATGCACGTATATGTTCCTTGGTCAGTTGTTCTTTGGATATTTTCAATAGTCAATGAGCCATTAGAAACGCGCTGTCACATATTTGTTGGTAATTTGACGTTATCTACATACATTGGATGTGGAGAGAAAAGCAATAAGGGCGAGAATATAGCATCAATGAAATTAACAGTACATACTAAAATAAATTCTAATAAAAAACTTACTTTTTTCCCATATAATTTTATCAATTGGCCATCCAGCCACAGGACACTTAATTTGTAATGTCTTTCCAGCTACTGCTGATATTGCAGGCATTGAACGAACAAATGGTGTCCCATAAATATTTAATCTGGCTGAATGACTACTCTGTCCAGCTCGTGAACGTGCAATGCATGAATATTCTCCACCATCTTCAGCCTTTACATTTGTGATATTGACATGGCTTACAACGTCACCAGATAACGTTACATATTGTCCTATCATCAATCGATCATTATTTGGCAGTGGAAAGCCATCGAGTGTCCACGATATTTGGGGCGTTGGACTTCCCGTCCTACATTCCATTATGTATATTAGATTGAATACATATTCAATATTTTTTATGTATGAACGTCATTAACATTAAATAAATATTTTTTAAAGTGCATTTTTCGAGCATGAGGAGGTGTCACTTTGTCAAAACTAGATAGATTCTCGAGAAATAAAGAATCTTACGTTTTGAAATTTTTGAAGTCATTAGCAATACCAAAAAATGCGCTTTGAACAAAACTTCATAAGACATCCTTACTTCTATTGTTTTTCACATCAACTCACCCTGTACATTTTAATGAAACACCCGGACCGGGCTGAAGCGTCTGCTCAATAAATCGATAATGTAAAATTGGAGCAATTTCGCCTAAACTGATTTCAGCAACGCCTTGTGCCATGTCAACATCATTTTTCACAAAACATTGAAACATCCCTTGGTCATCTTTTGATATGGATGTGATGTGAATTTGATCTTTACTTATTATGCGTACTCTTGAACCTGTACGTAATGGCTGTCCATCTTTTATCCACCAAATGTTTGCTTGCGGCATTCCACTTATCATGCATTTCTACGCAGATACACAGAGAAATAATTTAATTTTATGCTGACGCTTGATGTAATTAAATGTGTATGACTTACTAAGTCAGCACTTTTTCCAACATCGACTGTCTGACGTTGCGGTTGAATGTGCGCTTGAAGAGGTGCTACAATTTTCAATTGTATCTCCAACGTCTCACTACCTTGTTCATTGGTGGCAATACAGTAAAAAATTGCATTGTCTGACTGCTCAATTGACTGAATAATCAATCGACTCTCTTTTACTTTATATCGTCCTGATGTTGTCATTACTATGTGCTCTATTGATTCATTTCGTCCATGTTTGTTACGATAATACCATCTGCATGGAATGAGATAAACACACAGAAGTAGAAGAATTTAGATTCGGGATTAAAATGAAATGGATGGAAATAATCTTCAAGATAAAGAAGAAAAAAATGGTTACAAGAAAGCAACGGAGATGGAAAAAAAAGTTGGAAGCAAAATCAAGATTTTTTTTTCAAATTGTTTTTTGATTACCGTGCATTTTTGCCCTCCTTCAAATTCAACGATGTTAAATCATAAAAAATCGTATTATTTTCTCTTCTTTCTATCTCCTCTTATTCTCTCTAGCATTGTACGCTCTGTGATGATAAAAAGGGCATCAACAGCTATCATAGTATTGCGATGAAAAAAAGGCAAAAAGCATTTAAAGACTGGGAATTTCAATAGAATCAAAATTATATCGTGCTTTCTCATCTTTTTTGCTTATTATGCTTTTCACTTTTCCTCGTCTATTTTCATTTAAAGTCAGTAGTAATAAAAGTTCATGATAGACAGAAAACGAAACAGCACAAGTGTCTTGGAATTGCTCAATGGATGATGTAATGAAATAAGGAATTGTTTGGCAAGCATTTATTTAAATTCTCATCAAAACTTGCTAAGACCACAAAATTCCCAAACATAAAATCCTCTGTAGCATAAAGGAATTCTTAACAACATGCTAGACAAAACATCTGAATGCGTCCTTTTTTAACAAACTTTTTCTCAACTTGAATGCTATAGGGCAAGAAGATTTAAATTGAACTCAAATTCCATTAGAGATATTCGTATACAAAGTATTACGAAGGAATTGAAAGAGATGGCATATGCAAATGATCAAAGTAACGAATTGAAATGATGTAAATAAAGAAGAGAAAACTTTCTAGTCTGAGCTGTAAAACTGACATTTTAGTAGAGATGTCTGGAGATATCTGATTATATTTTAGATCCTTACAAAGACAGCATTAACATAAATATTTGAAACCATTAAATTTTATATAAATTGTCAACATTTCATGACAGTAAATTCTAAGAATTATTTTTTTTGTGTCTTGTGTATAATTTAGACGTGAGTTATAAAACTCGAGTTATAAAGAAGGCTCGCATTTTTGGAATTATAGATTTTGAAAACACTAACTAATATTTCGAAGTCTATTCAAATTTATTCTAAGTTGACATGATTGAAGTAAACTCGAGTCAATTCAACTTCCTTAAATGAAAATAATTTTCAATTAAAATCCTTTCATTGGTTGAGTTCAAACTCTAGTAAAGTATAAGGTAGATATTAGCTAGTAGTTCCAATCAAGTTTATAATTCGATTTAAAATCTTATTCACCCTAAATCACATAAATCTAGACATGAGCTTAATATTTTTTGTCGTTTGCGTTGGGTCTTCGTTATTAATCCAGTCCTGTTTACCTTAAGTTGCTTTCTTTAAGCATGTTCTTTTCGGGAATGGTTGGTTGTACCCCAATGTTAACAAAGAGAATAGAGTCCGTTATAAACAAAAAAAAATTCAAAATTTTCGTGCGGTATTTTTTTAAAATTTCAAAATAAGAAAGTCCGTTACTTTTTATTTTTTTTAAACTAGCTGTTTTTTAAAGCATAAACATTTAAGGAATGCAATTTGATCACAGTGATTATCTTAATCATAAAAACTAGTAGGAATGTTCACTAAAATTACAAATTACTCGAAAAATATTATTCACAACGAATTTTTTTAAAAATAAGAATTTCGAAGATTCGATTTTCGAAAAATAAGAACCTCAAAAATTCGAAGTTCGAATAATAAGAACTCAAAAATTTCTGTTTGCTAGCATTGGGTTATACCTTACCATCCCTAGCCTGAATGTGGTGCTGCCACCCTAAAATGTATACGCGTATTTAACCATATATGTATGGAAACCCTACACATGATTATTTAAATTAAAATTTTTGTGGTCTTTCTTCACAATATATTTTGGTACTCTTAAGAAAGCATTCTCAATTCGTACAGAAATAAAAATTCTTCAAAAAATTTCAGTTGCTGTTAGAAACCTACACGAGTCATGCTCTATTAACTTAGAACTCATTTATTCATCTATGAACATCATCATCTTCATATCCTCCAAACAACAACTCTACTTTGAATGTCATCCCTATTTATAAAGAGGAGTAAACACGAGGATGCTTGATGTTTTCTATTGAAATTTTTTGGAGCGCAAAAGATGGAGTAATTATTTTGAAAATAAAAAAGCAACAAGAAAATAAAACTAGTGTATCGGGTAGAAACCCAATGCGGATATATTCACACCGTACCATCAAAAGTCTTATGGATAGACCAAGATTTGCTCAGCATAAGTTTGAAGGGTGGGCGTTAAGTACGGCCGAGACCCATATCGACACAGTTCAAAAGATATACCTAATTTATGTCATAATTATCTCAGCTACAAAAACACTTAGTTTGAATTTTGTCACCCTCGGGAACACTATGAACCAGTATAGCTGATTTTGGTCCAAATCTCGGCCATACTTCACACTTATTTGAACCACATTTTCTCGTAAATGTTAAAATATTATTAAAAAGTAATTAATTCTGAATTATTTCGCTATTTTTTCAAGTGTTTTAACATAAAGAATTTGTTTTTTGGTTTCCACAGTGAAGAGTATGAACAAAATTCAGATGGGGTAGTCGAAATTTTAGATTTCGTTTTTTAGCGCATTTTTGAAACTTGTTTCAAAAAGGTAGCTTAATAACGCACTATGGTCGGCTGGCTGGCTGGCTGGCTGGCTGGCTGGTCGGCTGCTAAGAAAAACTTTTAATCTAGACATCGTAGAGAGTTCTAGTTTTTTGCATTAGTTCCGTTATATCGAGTTATTGGCCCGCCGGACATTTAAAAATCTTAAAACAGTGTATTTATGCTATAATTAATGAATTTTTGTTTTGTTTTCAGTGTAACCTGCTCAAATTTTATTTTACCTCTATAATTTCAATATTACCTCTATAATTTCAAAAAATTTCTAGCCGTTGTAAAATTTGAATTTCAAAAAACCGTTAAATGATAAACTTTTTTTGTATGGAAATTCATTGGAACAAATTATTTAATTATACTATAATTAATTTTTTCGTAGTGCAACTTATAGCGGGAAAATTTCAAACTATTTATTGACCGTTAGAAAATTTGAATTACAAAAAAATGTTAAATGATAAACCCTTTCTGTATGAAAATTCATTGCAACAAATTATTTAATTATACTATAATTAATTTTTTCGTAGTGCAACTTATAGCGGGAAAATTTCAAATTATTATTATATTGACCGTTAGAAAATTTGAATTACAAGAAACCGTTAAATGATAAACTCTTTCTGTATGGAAATTCATTGCAACAAATTATCTAATTATACTATAATTAATGTTTTTTTAGTGCAACTTTTAACGGCAAAATTTCAAATTATTTATTGACCGTTAAATAATAATCCTTTCTATATAAGCATTCATTGTAACTTTTTGTTAATTACACTAAAATTAATGATCTTCTAATCTTCTCATGATCTGTAAATGAACGCAAAATAATTACATAATCAAATACTGATCGCTAACACAAAAATGCGCTTAAGTCCCTCGATCAATAACACGAGGACTTCTGTAATTTTTTAAGCTATGCATTACAAAAAGTAATATTGGTATGTGATTTATGTCAGAATTATGTCAATTCAAATAAAACATCCAAAAAATTTTTTTGACCAAAGTACACCATAGAAAATCAATTTTCAATTTTGGACTAGGGGCGACCCTAGTCAAAATCAATTTTGTCACTTTTTTTCTTCGAGGGTTTATGCAAATGGATTGAAACTTTGCATAAATATTCTGGTGCTTAAAACAAATACAAATAAAACATCCCAAAATTTTTTTGAGCAAAGAACCAAGTAGGAAATACATTTTCAATTTTGGACTAGGGTCGACCCTAGTCAAAATCAATTTTGTCACTTTTTTCTTCGAGGGTTTATACAAATGGATTGAAACTTTGCAGAAATATTCTAGTACTTAAAACAAATACAAATAAAATATTTTAAATCTTTTTGAGCAAGGAACCAAGTAGGAAATACATTTTCAATTTTTGACTAGGGGCGACCCTAGTCAAAATCAATTTTGTCACTTTTTTCTTCGAGGGTTTATACAAATGGATTGAAACTTTGCAGAAATATTCTAGTACTTAAAACAAATCCAAATAAAACATCCTAAAATTTTTTTGAGCAAAGAACCAAGTAGGAAATACATTTTCAATTTTGGACTAGGGGCGACCCTAGTCAAAATCAATTTTGTCACTTTTTTCTTCGAGGATAAATCCAAATACAGTAAAACTTTGTATGAGCATTCTAATCTTCAGGTCACACATTTCTTAATTAATAAAAATCATTTTTTTTGGACAAAATTTTAATTCACGTTGTTTTTGAATGTACACCCAAATTTATAAAATTTGGGTCTGACGACATATAGAATACATTTCTTGCTTTAGATATTTAAAACTGTTTTGTATAAATATTAGTATACTCACACAAAGTTTCACTGTAATTGGATAAACCTTCGAAGAAAAAAAGTGAAAAACTAGGTTTTGACTAGACCTGTCCCAAGTTCATAATTGAAAATGTATTTCCTACTTGGTTCTTTGCTCAAAAAAATTTTAGGATGTTTTATTTGTATTTGTTTTAAGTACTAAAATATTTATGCAAAGTTTCAATCCATTTGGATAAACCCTCGAAGAAAAAAGTGACAAAATTGTATATGACTAGGGTCGCCCCTAGTTCAAAATTGAAAATGTATTTCTTACTTGGTTCTTTGCTCAAAAAAATTTTAAGATGTTATATTTGTATTTGTTTTAAGTACCAGAATATTTATGCAAAGTTTCAATCCATTTGTATAAACCCTCGAAGAAAAAAGTGACAAAATTTATTTTGACTAGGCTCGCCCCTAGTTCAAAATTGAAAATGTATTTCCTTCTTGGTTCTTTGCTCAAAAAAATTTTTTTCATCCAAAGTTTAATTTAAAATAAAAAAAAAATCACAGTGAACTTTTAATTTGAAAAATTCGTAAGAAAGGAAAGTTTTTTGCTTTTTCTGAAGCAACGGCTGTTCCTACCTTGCCCAAAAACAATACAGCTCTTCTATAGAGCAGCGCGGATCAAATGTAAAAAACTAGAAGTCTCTACAATGTCTCGTTATTGAGATTTCTTGCTGATTAACTTGCTTGTTTGCTTGTTTGCTTACAGAAAGCGTATTTTGCGATTTTCTCAGCAATGCCACAACCAATTTGAAATCTGTTTTTTGAAAGTGATGTAAAATTTCAGGCAGAAACTTTTCTTCTGTGACCTTTTATATCCAATTTTGCTTTGTTTTCTCACAAAATGCGAAAAACTGATTTTTCAATCTGGACAAAACCAATAGATTCACACGTGAAAACGGTGTGAATATAATAAAAAGGCATAGAAATAGAAACATAAAAGTGTATGTTCATGTATGCGAGGAGGAAAAAGAAGAAGCAGTTACATTTCATGTGTAGCTATAACAAAACAACATACAACATGGAAAAAAAGAATTGGTACAAGGAACATGGGTAAGGTTTCCCATTATTTATAATGTGTATTCACATTTGAATTTGTAGAAAAGTTTTCTACATATTTTTATTTTATTTTTCGGCTATATTTGTAGCTGCGTGTGTATGAGAAAGAATAGAAATAAAATAAAAATTGTACATACCTATAAATTGGTTTTGGGTTCGCATAAGCAACACATGGAATGACAACGGACTCTTTTAGTCGAACTGTAATATACTTAATTTTATCGTTCATTATGGGTGGTACTGGTTCTTTCATTTCTGTTCCATATGTTAAGAAATAAACAGCAAGGAAGAAAGAAATAAAAATAAAAATCAGTATTGTGTTATAAATTATCCCTATGAAGCAACATTGCAGGATGCGAGACAGAAAAGAAAATCCAATAATTCATTAAGACTCATGCTGTAAGCTGTTGCTATTAAAGGAATATAAATAAAACTATTCTCACAACTCACCAGTCAATTGAATTCGTCCGACGCTATTGCTTATCACTACATCCTGTGTAAGTGAGTGGAGCGTTCGACATCGAAATGCTTTTTGTGCATCATACTGTGTGACGTTTATAACGACTAATTCACCGGTTGGAAGCATGTGGAATTTCGAATCTAGACATAGAGACATGAGAAATGAAAAAAAATAGACATGGAACGAAATGTAATCAATTGTACATTAACAATTCAGCAGTTACAAGAGAAATTTTTTGAAAACTTTTCGATAAGTCATTTCCTCAACCGACCCTCCCGTATGTTTGGGCTAGAAAACACCAAAAACTTTTTCCTATACTTTTCTCTTGAGCTGTAAAATCAATGACTTTGTCATTGTTTGGTATTATTTTTTCAGAGTACAATAGGAAATTGAAAGCGAGGACCAACTTTTTAAAAAAAGTTACAGTTTTAAAAACCATTTTGCGGTTTATTATCCTTTATGATGATTTTTTAAATGAAACTTTTCACATAAAATATCAAGTAAATTGGATTTTAAAATTCTTAGAAATTTTTTTCAATGAAGTAAATTTTACAAACTTGATTACTAAGACAAAAAGGGCGTATGCCACTGTTGCTTTATTAATAAGATGTTATCACAAATCATATTGATCGAAAATTAAGTTTTGACAAATCTTTCTGCTGCATGAAGTTTTCAAGAATTAACAAACACGCATGAAGTTTTTGTGAATTGACAGACACCAATCCTCCCCTCACACCATCCTCTTTCACTTGCACTTTGAAAGTCGCAAAATATTTGTGAAAAATCCAGGGTGAAAACTACTTGTTGGGTTAAAAAAAGGGAAGTTTTCCATCAAAAATCGTAAAAAAGGAAAAAAAGGGGAAAATTCTCGTTTTTACCATTTTTTAACATTTTTTAAAAATCCCTAAAAAGACTTAAAGGTGGAAGATATTAATGCTTTGAATCATTTCAGTTCGGTTAGCTGAAGTGTTCTCAAACCGTCTTTATATCTCACAAGTCACAACAGACCACGAGTTGAATCGAAATTACCAGTTTGAAAGTCTGCTCAAGTCGACTTTCATAGAAGCCACAATGATTCAGAATCGGAAAAAATGTTCAAAAATTCAAAAATTTCATGTTAATTAAACTTTGTATTTTAAATGCCAGAACAAAGATCTTAACTTGAGGCATATCCTATGAAAATATCTCGTCCCAATTTGATGTCTAACTCCAGAAATCATTAATTTAATCTCACCCAAAATTTGTTTACAATTTGTGTATGAAAAAAAAAATATGATTTTTTCTACTTTAAGTTGTTATTTGGATGTCTTGGAAGCAGTTGCTAGCTAATTTAAGCTTAGCTTTACATATAAAAACAACAAACTCAATAGAAATCTGCTTATTAAGCCTTAAAAATGAATTGAAATCTGAGTATTTTTGCACAACTTAAACTATTCATAAGTTTAAAAGTCTTCCAAAGACCTCTCTGAAACCTATACAAATCAATTAATTAAGCTTAAATCTATCTCCCATACAACTGGGGACATGCCGTTTGATGCCGTTTTCGAGATATTTGCGATCAAAGTTTACATCAATTTTCATACAAAATTTGATCATGCACAATATTTTTTGATAAACTTTTACAAAGTTTTGGTAAAAAATCATGTTTATCCTTTATATTAAGGACTGATTTTTTGAGCAATGAACGAAAACATTATCTAGAAGATGCTAAAAGATTCAAATCAAGAGAAATTAACAAAAACTTTCAATTTTTCTAATGTGTCGGAAAAATATTGTGCACAAGGAATTTTTGAACATTTTTTCCGAATCTGAATCATTGTCGAAGCTTTATTTTTTTCTTGAAAAAACTTATGAACAATTCCTTCAAATATTCTTTCACATCCTTTTAACCTTGATAGTTGAACAATCATGAACCATCCTTGGAAGCACCTATGAACTGGTTTAAATGGCTTTCAGAGGCATCCCTTAGTCTCAGATAAATTTTATTGAAACCCTTTATTGCACTTTAAATCGAATTCATAGAATAGGATGCCTGCAATAGCTCCTCCTGACAACATATATAATTCCTACTCTAAATGATTCTTTATCCAAAAACAATGTCAACCCAATTTTCGCAACATCCATTAAAACAAAAATTCTCATTCCTCCATCAAAATCGCGCTAAAAAATGACTTCCATGAAATCCACCTGGCATCTAACCCGTAACATTTTGAAGCGTAAAAAAAATTTTCATTGAGAAGAAGAGATTACCGCTGGCTACATTTATTCTGTCTGTAACGTTTCTTAAAGGGAGATTAAGCATTTTTTTTTTGATGCTCCGTGTTATGACAGAAAAAAGACCTTTTTCTCACTCCTAACATCCCACATTAACATCTAGTACTTTAAAAAAAATTATGATTGCATTTATGTACTTTAAAAAGGCTTCAATGAATGGAGAGAAGAAATAGCAGCAAGAATTGAAGAATGACGACGGGATACAAGTGGATGAAGAAGTGAATAATCATTACTGGCTCAAACATAATTTACCATTAAAAATTCATAAACCCCAATGTGAGAATCTTAAGGGAAAAAGCATTTTTATAGTCGTGAATTTTTAATTTTCATTCAGCATTGCTATGAGTCAGTTCTTTTTTCTCTCGCTTCATTTTACTCACTCATTTGAGAAAGAATTCAGACCAAATAGATGGAGAAGCTCTTGGTTGTGCTCAAACGAGAAAAAAAAATTAAAAAGTTTTTTTTTATTTAACCAATTCCCCAAACGAAAAACTTTTTTTCAATGTTCGCTCGCTCTCTCATCCCTTCGTCATCATCTCGATGCTTTTGAGGTTTTTTCTGACATTTAAGTTACTCGCACCATAAAAAATTGCAATGGAAGTTAAATATAAGCGATAGTTAATGGCGGTGGTTGAATTGAAATGAATTTAAAGAGACTTTTTGGGGTGTGCTAGAAATGCATAAATACAAATCATAGTCTATCTGATAGTTGACAGGGTAAGTCCGATTGAGAATCTTCTCTTGAACGTTCATTAAGTTCAAAGAGATTTACCAATAGACATGTTAAAATTTATTTGACTTAAATCCCCTTCAATGAATGAAAAGAAGTGCCGGAACAATAAAATGTTACTAAGCAAGTTTAAAAAAAAGATCGTAATGCCAAACAGTTTTGCAAATCGAGGGCCCTCCCTGTAAATTAACATCAAGGGTTCGGAACAGATGAAAAATGATCAAAATGTAATTTATCAGTTCCGCACTCTTGACATTAGTTTATAGGAATTTAATTGTTCTCTAAGCCCCCGAGGATACTTAATCTATTGGCACACCCAAACTGTGAATAAACTTTAAAAAAAAATGCTGTATAAAAACTTACCCCCTTCCAGCGTTGGATATATATTATACAAAGGCTCTTCAAGCCACGATGTCACACGAACATAGTCTTTTACAAATTGGGGAATAATGCACTTTATGATAACATTGCTCCCTATAAATCCACCAGGATTTTGTACTTCTAAATCGTAACGTTGATGAATAACTGTAAATACATGAAGAAATGTGGATGTACATCATATCTTTAATTGGCATTTTATAAATTAGCATTGGAGCATGAAAAGGCGATGCAAATGAATAAACTTGAGTGTAGATAAGGATAAGTTTTTAATTAAAAAGGATGATAAGAATCAGTATAGAGTGCTTTATATAAGCCAACGGAGCATTAAATCATTAAGTACATATCTATGCATGTGCCGTATTCATTTTAAATTCAGGTGAATATACAACCACATCATTTTCCCTTTTGATTTTAACTCTTTTCTGTGTCTCTGTATATGCCTCATTCACTCACTCTTTGGCTGTGCTCTCCTCTTTATTTACACAGTAAAGTATGTGTATACAGACATCTATGCATACATCGGGTTGAATGAAAAGAGAAGTGGAATATAAAAGAGATTCTAAAGGGAAGTTAAAAGCAAGAGGAAGGAGTAAAATTTTCTGCACAATTACAATATGCAATGCAACGACAGTAACTCTTTAAGCACTAAACTTCGTGCTCAATTGATTTTTTTACATCCTATCCATCCTACGTGATTTTTTTTCGTTTCAGCTTTATTTCTTCATTTCATCTCGCTGAATTTTTATGAACAATGAATTTCACGACTATTGTGTACTAAAAAGGTTTCTTTGTTCCTCGTACATTTTATTCTGGCAACAATGTACAAGTGAATGAAATGGAATACATTTATTAGTTCTTATTTTTACGATAGGATTTACATATGTGACTGGAAAGCTGATATTTTGTCAATAAATCTGATTATCAGACATTGTGATTTAACATCAGGAATTAAAGCTAGGCTGAAGATTTATTGTTAAATACAACTAGAATAAAATATCGTGACAGATCTTGGTGGTGTCCTTTGATATCCAGCCTTTATATTCTAAAGAATTTTAAGCTAATGAAAAAACCAAATGAATTTTTGTGAAAATAAGAATTATTTTGCAGAATCGATCAAATAACTTTCACGCATGAGTCCATAATATCCCGAACTGGCAGAAGGTTTCGAAGGATAGAGCTGTCTTTAGACGGTCTCTGAACGTAACATAGTAAATAAGAATCCTAACCTCGCTTAATTCTAGGTTAAGATACTATTCGCGTGTCTGCCATATAGACATCATTTCAATTTACGAGATCAGGTATGGATTTAATTAGAAATAGTATTATTAGAAATAGTATTTAAGCAGTTAAGTGCCTTGCTGGTCGAAAAGGTAAGGCGCTTGGCTCAAATTTTGGATGGTAACTCGGAGGTCGTCGGTTCGAATCCAGCAATTTTCAAATTTGTTCTTTTTCGGAAGTTTAGATAATTCGACTCCTTAATGTACAAGATCAAGCCATAAATGGGCATTTGTGCAACGTTGGATTAAGAAACGGGTCAGGAACTTGAAGTGTAGCGGGAGAAATAGGAACGAGAGCTACAAGATTACCCACGAATGGAATATTGTTAGAACGGACCTGAAAAATATCACGTCACGCCTACAGAAGATCAAAACGAGAGCTTTTGTTTATTTGAAACCTAGATTTGAAGATTAGAAGTTTGATCCTACATAATACTAATTCATATGTATACAAATACAAAGGTGTAAAATGTGAATTATGACCGGACAGTATGTCGTCAATAAATGCAATAAAGTGCAATTAAAATGAAAAAGTATTTAATCCTAAAGCTTTACAAGCACCATTTACTTTACATCAGACATTATCATAATAATTTTAAAAACTTCTTTTCTTAATATGTATAAGGATCCAAAAATTCAGTCGTTCTGTCAGTGCTAATTTTATTTTTGACTTAAATAATTTCTAAGAATAATTGTAGCAATTATGAGGACTTCAAGGTAAAGTGAACCTTTTTTTCAGCCCAGTAACTGACAACAATTAAACTAATGATAAGAAAGAAGACACAATTTGGGAGAATATGCTCGAAGACAGTAAAAGTCATTTCAGTAAAAATAAATGGTAATTTGTAATTGGATATCATTAGGAATTGATGTAGAGAATCCTAATATCGAATAACAAGAAGGTATTCTTGGTAATAATTAGAAATCCACCTCACGTCCTTTAATTTAGAAAACAATTTTCTCAATGATCTTAAAGTTTATGGAATTGCCACAAAAAAAAAGTCACAAGGTAAACATTTTAATAAGTTTAAATGCTGACTTTTTTACGTTGACATATAAAAATTACATGAGTTTCATCTCAACACAAAATAAATTATCTCATAATAAAATATTAAGTAGAAGATATGAGGAGTGAGAGGCACAGAAAAGACATGAAAATTTTCATCACATTCCAATGCTAATTAAATTATTCACCATAAATGTGAGTATGGGGAGGATATAATGAAATAGTAAGAATAAAGGAAAGACATGTCTTACCTGCTTTAACAAAAACATCTCTCGAGACTATTGTACCTACAGAATTTACAGCTACACATTTGTACGTCGACCAATGAACATCTTGACGAAAACTCTCGCCTTGAAATGGTGGAAAGTAAATTGATCCATTTGGAAATATGTGACGAATCTAGAATGAAAGTTTTTAAGTCAGTTTCGATTCTTTGCATTTGTGCCTTATTGTCAGGATGTCAAATGATTTTTCTATATGAAAACTGAGCAGTGATTTTGTTCCTTTAACAAATCGTTCTTCAAAAAACCTTTAATTAACTTTATTTGTATCAAACTGATGGTTTTTGGATCTAATAAGCGAGGAGGTAAATCGGGTAACATGTACATACCTACATCTCCAGAAATCCTATAAAAACCCAAGGTACACCAACTTTGTTAAAATTCGCAAAAAACACACTGAGATCGAAGAAAAAATGACTTCCAGTAATGAAAAAGAATAAATGAATGAAAGCAATTTTAGACGGTTTGCAGCACTTAAAATAAGGTTTCAGAGAATATATTGGCATTTCCTACTTAATGTGCCTGAAACCATTCAAAATTCCTTCTGATTTTGAATTCCTTTTACTTTAATTTCAATGTGCTTCTTTGCGTATTTTAACAGGTTGGTGAACCTTGTATAAAGCTCTAAACCTATTTAAACTCAAGCTAATTGTAGATTTTTTGGAATTAGAATCTCTGAATTCTTCTCTTGGCTAGCCGCCTAGGAGGAACTGTGAAAGAACTTTTTTGCTATAACTTTAACTTCACTAAGACAATATAAAGCGGTGAAATGGCATCAGTGGTCTAATGTTAGAGCGTTGGCCTTTTGTGCCAAAGGTCCTGGGTTCAATCCCATGCCAGGTCAAGTTTTAGAAGCTTTTTTTCCATTTCACCGTTCTAGTTACGAAGCTCGGTTCGTGTGTTGGGTGTAGTTTCGAGGTCTTTGGCACAGAATCTGCCTCCTTTGCTAGGTATACAAGGATATACTAGCATCTGGATGACTTCTTTACAGCATCTTGCGCACACGAATTGTGACTAGGTACATTGCAGGATACATCCGGTCTTATGACGTACTCGTGTCTTTGCAATGTGCAGAGCTTGCAAATGGTTCGGATCCCACTATAAACTGTAGTGCCCCCAGCTGAAGAGCTGGGCCCTTCACACATTATTATTAAGACAATATAAGATAAAACTTTGTATCTAGTTTATTAAACTAAACAATGAATCAGTGCCTTATTCGAATCCAAAGTGCCTCCTTCAAAATAAACCTTTATCTCCAATTTCAAGGGTGAGGTAATCGAGAGATTGTCGGAAATATCACAAAATTGCTTAATTCAAAATGGTAAGTTCTCCCATCTTCTCTACCCAATTTCAGAAAAATCATTTTTCACTCGACAATATAATTTACATACATTTGCAATAGAATTGACGGGATTATTTTCGTTATCGAACCATTCAATATTTGGTGTCGGTATTCCACTCGCTGAGCAGTCAAGACGTGAACCGAGTGTGTTTGTGAAATCAAATCGCGTTGGTGGTTCTAAACTGAATGTTGGTCCTATATTATCATACGATGCTGTAGCCCATACGAGATCTAATTAAAATGGAAAAAAAAATCAATAATTAGGTTATATCATCTATGTTTAAATGGCAATATATCACGTATATAGACATGCAATCTACTGTATATAGTTTCTTCGTATCTTGGCAGATATCACATTCATGTCAATCTTTATTTTTCTATCGTACTTGATGTTTAATCTTCTTTAAATTTTCACATTCATTTTATTTTTATTATTTATACAACCTCGAGTGGTTCCTGAAAATAAGCATTACTCAAAACGGAGCCTAATTTCCATAACAAATCGGATAATAAGCTCAAATTTTATTTTATAGAATCAGAAGGGATGGATCGCAGTCCGTAATGAAATTCAAATAGGATTATGGAGCAAATAAAGCTCATTCATTTTTATGAAAGGATATTTATTTATTTTCAGTCAATCGGGTTGAATTGCCAGCGTTTTAAACAGCTTATGAATTTTTTTGTTTGCATGATTTTTTATGCTTTGAGCATTTCATATTTTATTGGTGGATATATTGAGTTCAAGGAACTGTCAAGATATGTTTTTGAAAAATTTGATTCATGAAAGTTAATCCTGCAGTAATATTTTAGTAAACAAGATTGGTTTACTTTCAAACGATGTGGACAAGACGCAGGATAAGCTTTTTATCTTGATGCAAATTCTTCAAAACGGAATTTATTCCTTAAGATTTTAGATTTAATAAAAAATGAAGTTTAAATCCAACGACAAAATAAAAGTAATGCAATCAAAAAAAGCTTTATGCCAGTGTCTTCATAAAGCTGTATAAAAGTTTTTAAAGTTCATGATTTTACCCAATCAAAATATCTATACCTTTTCCTTAATTCCGTGTTTTACACTAAGAAAACAAGATAATGCTCAAGGGACGTAAGCTTTAGAATGATTTAAGGTCAATAGTTTGTTTTGAATGATTTTTAACAACAGGCAGTGCCTGTTAACAGGCAATATCTGTTATAGAACTGTCACCTGGACCTGTGACAGGCGACCTGTTTCGCAACTCTGCAAAATATTAAATAAAGTTATAAAAGTCGCTTTATGCTAAAGACATTTGTTGAGACATTCCCTTACTACTACTCAGGGGCGTAGCCAGGGGGGGGGGGGGCATAGGGGGACCGGGCCCCCCCTACAAAAATCTGATAATTGTTTTATTAAGTATTTATAGAGAAGAACCAGTTAATGTAGAGGAAGTGATGAAAGAAATGTCAAAATCAGCACGAAAAATTAAATTCAATGTATGAATAATGAATTACTGGGGGTCCTCGATTTGAGTAGATTCTATTTGAGTAGATTCGATTTGAATAGAAATATTTTTACCCACCAAAATATTCGATTTGAGTAGATTTCTTCCTGTTTTCTTCGATTTGAATTGTTTACAAAACAAATATATTTGACAAAAACTTTTCAGAAAATATTTTTAAAACATAAATTTTAATGCAATAATCGTGAACTAATCATATTGATAGAAAAATCAATACTAAAGTTACAAAATTAAAGTAAAAATTTATAAAATCGATGTAAAAATAACGGTTTTAAATAGTTCAAATTTCAAAACCTTACAAATTGTTCGGTTGAAATTACATTTGTAAGGTTCTCATATTTTTGATTTGTTGAAAAAACATATTTTTTGAGAATTTCTGTTAAAATTACATATGAATATGCTTTAAAATAAATTAAGTCATCTAAAACACAAAAAAAAAGTTAAGAAACGAGGTAAAATGTGCAAAAAATTATAAAAATTTTCATTGTTTTGATACATTTTTTGGACTCTGGAACAAAACATGTGATTTTGTATGAATTCCTTGCCTCGATTTGAATAGATTCGATTTGAGTAGAAAATTTTTGGAACAAAATAACTACTCAAATCGAGGACCCCCAGTAAATATTTAAACTTAAGAAGAATGAATATAGATTTAAGGATACAAAATAACGGTTTTTTAATTTTCGAAAATGGGCCCCCCCATTAAAAATTTTCTGGCTACGCCCCTGTTACTACTTCACACATTTCACATTCTTAAGAATCTCTCGATAAGCTTAGTCACAGAATACCAATAAATACTTCCGAATGTATTTTCCCTTTTCCTTATTCAAAACATCTAAACCTAAATCATTTTTTATTAGATTCACTCGCAGATGTGCCTTCCTTGACTGAAACATTGATTTACTCTTCATAATCTGCTTAAAGTGAACTCAACAACCTTCAGGACAAGCTTAAGGAATTATCTGTGAATCAAAATTATAATTGCTATGGAAACCATATTTTCTTTAAAAAACAGAAGGAGCATACAAACAGATGAACAGAAAAGCGAGCAGATCTAATGAATAACTCATGAATAAGAATAGATTTTTTTTAAACAATTTCACAAAAGAAAAAATGTTTTTGTGACAACCAGTAAGTAGTCAATCGGTATTAAAATGAAAATAATATGATGGTGCTTCGGGCGTTCAGCACACATAAATGTTTACTCAGAGGAGGAGATGGAAAAGAGGAAGTTGAGTAATGTAAGAATAAAAGTTTTCGATGAGGTATCATTGGATATGCGGGCGAAGACGCATTTACCAGATGACCAGATTTTAAAGTTTGGTGTTGTTAAATCGCATCAAATATCATTCCTTTTTGAAGAAGAAAAGTAATTTCATGAGCATTGTGTCAAGGGTGTGGTACTGATGAAATGATCAAAAATGATATAAAATGATCAAAATATAATTCTTCAGTTCCACATTCTTGCATTGTGTTTGTTGAGAATATAGTAACGGTTATTTAATATTCAAGTTATGTATGCAACTATAATTAGTTTGTTTCCCTTGTATAGTTGTTAACCCCTTCATATGAATATTTAGTCTCTCTGAACAATAAAGATCATTTTGCATTTAAAAAAGAGGCCGTAAAGTCTCTTTGATTAAGTTTTTTAATAAATAAACATTGTGTTCATCATATCCAACAGAGTTGCTTACCTATGTTATTTGTCACAAAGATCTTACTGTTGCTTTAATCGATTCGCCTACATAGAGATGCATACCCTAAACTCTTAACAGAATCCAAACCAAATAAAGATGAGTTGTGAGCCAAGTCTCTTGTAAACATGTCAAAGCCCTACTAAGTTTTAAATCCATCATCATTTTAAAAGCATTACAGTATTAAAATACTCATTGACCCAATTTAAATGTGTATGATTTACAGTGTTCAAGAATTTAAAATGTACAAAAGAAGTAGTGCATTAGTGACTTTACATTTAATAAATAGAAACAATAGTAAAATCCATTATATATTTGTTGCAATTCATATTGTTTTATGAAGAATCGAAAATATTCAATATTCAGAACAATTCTTATAAAGAAATAATACAAAGTGAGCACATAACGCATATGCTTCCTCAAAAGAAGCACTAAAATTGTATAAGCATTCAACAGAAATGAAATCACGAACATTGTATTTATAAACGTTTTCCTTTTGTTCGTTTTGAGTACAGAAAAAAATAAGAACCAAGGAAATATTTCTTCTTGATAAAATAATAATAATCATATTTCTTGTATGCTCATGTTCCTACATATATGTTCACTCGTTCTTCAATTTGTTAGTAATAAAATTTTGTGTTCTGTATATTTTTTTTTTCTTGTTTTTCAATATTGTGGAATTTGTGCTGCACAAAAATCTATGAACAAGCAGATGAAAATTTCCATTTACTTGTTTATCTTGATCCCTCAACTCAACATCACAGCTCTTTTCGCCTATTTTTCCTTCGTTCTTGTTTTATATATTCCAACCTTTCATGCTGCTATGATAAGGAATTCAATGCATGGCTAAGAAATCACATAATGCAATCGTTTATAACTCAAAAACCCAAATCACGAACAAATCGTGAGAAATTTCCGTACATGCCATCACTTGCTTAAGGAATGGTATGAAAGGATTTTTTTCCTTTGCCTTCATTCTTTCCTTTTCTACATATATGTACATGCATGATGATTTTTTTTTCTCTCTCTTCCTTTTACTCTTTCACTTAGCTTCCTTTCTGTATCAAATTGACGATGATGATTTCTTATGCTGCACGCTCATCATCTATGTACTTTGATGCGATTTTCACGAAACAGAAATAAAGTTTCATTATCGTATATCAGGGGATGATGCTCCTCGAAACGTATTCGATATATTAAATTTTATGGATGTATTGATGATCGTGATGATACTTTTATAATATCACGAACCAAATTATTCCTGATTTAGATGTAGCTGAAGGACGGGAAATGTGTTACTCTTTGATGGATTTATCAATATTATGTGATGTCTTCTGTTTTTCTTATCATGCTTGTTTATAGCTTGTAGCTTAATGGATTGTTCTGAGAAGAAATTAAAGCATTTACCGCAGGAAGTTTTGATCGTAATTCCGTCAAAAACCAATTATTGAATTAGTAGCAGCCAAAGGAAAGCATCATTTTTTGTAAAGCTTAGAATTAAAGACATTCTATATTAATAGCCCGGGTTCAGTTCCTGGATGTTTGTTTAAAGCAAGTACTTGTCAAGTAAAGAAGGAATCATGAAGATCTCGCTGTCTAGGATCTGGATGATTTTTTTCACCATTCTTGCTTGATTCTAGCAATTACTTTAAAAGATCAATCATGTAGGTTAATTCATGTTAACAGAAAAGCAGGTAAAGATAAAAATCAAAGGAATCACTGTATATATTGTCATAAAGCCTTAGCAATCATCACATCCATTCCAATCATAAACTTTCATTTTTCTCGGTAGAAGTAACTTTAAAACTACATAGCTTGATTGTTATTCTTAAAAAAATACTCAACAAGAACTTACTAAATGATATTTAATACTCAATCCTCAACTACAATGCTATCTAATTTGATATCATAAACATCATCATACTTTTTGGAAAAATAATGTATGTAAGGCATAATACTTCTACTTATGAGTTCATCATATTCCTATTACAAGCTTCATGGTTGTGTAAAATCTTTTTACCTTAAGATGCCTATTTTCCTT